AAAGTTACAAAATGATCATTTTACTATTCATTATGTTCTAAACTAATCATTTTCAGTTAAAATTTAGACGGCAATCTGAGCTGCATATTAACCTGCAGACTGAGATATGATAAAATATGATATAATAATCTCAAATGACTATCATAACTCAGTCAACATGTTAACGTTTAACTCAGAAGACCGTTAATTTTTTAAAGGAAAATGATGAGTTTGAAATATAATAAATAGTCGAGTTGTCATTTTGTAGCATTTAATAATCAAATTACTCAAAAAAGCAACTCCGGTGTACCATTTTATATTTTTTAACCATCAAGAAATTCAATAAAACAATGTCTTATAATCGAGTGATCATTTCTATACTTTACCCACAAAAAAGTTGCACCATAACTATAAGTTATAGTATTAATATGTCACGACATACATATGGTCAGATTTCTGATTCATTCTAATTTGATTTAAAAAATTAATTTTTCCACCTACATTAGACTCCATCTGAAATTTAAAAAGGTTTTCCCAAATTTCTCTCTTAGGCATTTATCTCATACAATTTCGGATCATTGCCCCATTTTAATTGATGCTTGTGCTACTGTTGCTGGAAACTCAAATTCTTTAGATGGCGTTTGGTTGGATAGAATCTCTTAGAATTGATGGGAATTGGAATCTAATTCCACCACTTTCTCATGTTTAATTTAAGTTTTTCAAGGGAATTGGAATCCCTGATGGAATTCAATTTCATAAAAATTGATGGAATTCAATTCCCTTGTTGGAGGGAATTGAAATTTGACCATACTACCCTCATCAATCCTTTGGTAACTTATTCATATATTGAATAAAAATATTTTTATTATTTCGGGTCGGGTCGGGTTTCTAATTCATATATTCGGGTCGGGTCAGGTCGGGTGAAACTTTATTTTGGTCGGGTCGGGTTCGAGTTTAGGGTGAAAAAACCGACCCGACCCGACCTGAAAATATATATAATTCAGGTCGTGTCGGATTAAGTCATTGTTTTTATTAAATAAAAACAATTTTTTATTATTTCGGGTCGGGTCGGGTTGGATTTCTAATTCATATATTCGGGTCGGGTCGGATGAAACTTTATTTTGTTCGGGACGAGTCGGGTCGGGTTTTTTTAAGTGTGATATTCGGGTCGGGTTGGGTTCGGGTTTAGGGTGAAAAAACCGGACGACTCGAAAATATATATAATTCGGGTTGGATTAAGTCACTGTTTTTATTAAATAAAAATATTTTTTTATTATTTCGGGTCGGGTCGGGTCGGATTTCTAATTTATATATTCGGGTCGGATGAAACTTTATTTTGTTCGGGTCGGGTCGGGTTTTTTAAGTGTGATGTTCGGGTCGAGTCGGGTCGGGTTTTTTTAAGTGTGATGTTCGGGTCGGGTCGGGTTCGGGGTTAGGGTGAAAAAACCTAGATCAACCCGAAAAAAATATATAATTTTACCTTATATATTTAGGAATAATTATAATAATACCCCTCTATATATATAATTTTTTTCAATTAAGTCAATGTTTTTATTGAATAAAAATAATTTTTTTTTATTTTAAGTCGTATCGGGTCGAGTTTCTAATTCATATATTGAATAAAAATAGTTTTTGGTAACTAATTAACATACTCCGATTGGAATGTATCGAAATATTGATATATCTTTTGGTAACTTATTAACATATTTTGATTGCGATGTTTTAACTTATAATGTTTATTAGTATGCTTTTTATAATTTATTGAAATGAATAATCAATCAATACAATAAAAATTTAATATTTTTTTATTTTTTATAATATATTACTATTTGTAAGTTGTAAAATAAAATAAAATAAAGCAAAAAAATAAGAAGGGTAATTCTGTCATTTTACATTACTAAAATTAAATTCATTTGACATGTCTGCGAACCAAACAGAATATGGAATTGGAATTTCCTACCAACCAAACAGAATATGGAATTGGAATTTCCTACCAACCAAACAGAATATGGAATTGTATTCCAATTCATACATATTCCAATTCTTTCACAGATTCTAATTCTCTCATAAACATTCCAACGAACCAAACACCACTTTAGTAAATTCTTTCCGTTTTGATGCGAATTGGATTTTGGAAGATGATTTTGAGGAAATGATTCGTTCTTGTTGGTGTTCTGTGGATGGTACTGTTCCCTCAAAACTCAAAAAATTAGATACAACAATAAAAAGATGGTGTCAGAATCTTAAAGCTCAACGCTCCCATGCCACAGACTCTCTCAAAGCAAGACTGGGTTTTTTATCTTCAGCAGACCCAGATGATGAAAACTTGGCTGAACTACTTGAAGTCAAGTTAGCTCTTAATTTAGAATCTACCACTATATTGGATCAGGTTCGGCCTTCTATTACTCCCGAGATTAATGCTACTCTTCTGGAAGCTGTTTCGAAGGAGGAAGTATACACTGCAGTCAAGCAAACGGCCCCGTTAAAGGCTTTGGTCTTGATGGTTTTCCCGCTCTTTTCTATTGGCATTATTGGCACATTGTTGGAGATGAAATTGCTGCTTATTGTATCTCAATCATTAATGGCACTTGCGATTTAAGTGAAATAAATGTTACGAGTATTGTTTTGATCCCAAAAATTGAATCCCCTTCGACTATGGAACATTTTCGTCCTATTAATCTATGTTCTGTTTTGTACAAGATTATAACAAAGGTTCTTGCTAATTGGTTTCGGTATTTTTTAGATCGTTGTATTGATCAAACTCAGAGTGCTTTTATTCCCGGTAGATTGGCTTCGGATAACGTGTTGATTGCGTATGAGCTTATGCATTCCATGGAAATCAAAGTCTTGTGCAAAAGGGGCATCTGCGCAAAAACTTGATATGATAAAGGCATACGATAGAGTTGATTGGAGTTTTTTGAAAAGTATGCTTCTTCGAATGGGTTTTGATCATAGATGGGTTTCATTGATAATGAGATGTGTCACTACAGTCTCATATTCAGATAATTTTAATGGTTGTAATGGATCATTTTGATCATAGATGGATTTCGTTGATAATGAGATGCGTCACTACAGTCATATTCAGACAATTTTATTGGTTGCAATGGTGATTCGTTTATTCCCGCTCGCGGTCTTCGGCAAGTTGATCCTACTTATTTATTCCTCATTTGTGCCGAGGGTTTGTCTTTTATTCTGCATTATGCTAAGGCAACTGGAAGTATTTCGGGTACAAACGCTGAGAGATATGGGATGCCAATCACTCATAATTCTCGCTGACAACATCTTATTTGGCGAAAGCTCTTTACTCGAAGCAGCACGATTCAAAGATTTAATTATTGCCCATGAACAAGCATCAGATCAGCCTGTAAATTTAATAATCTACTATTTATTAAATCAGTGTTGCAAGCCATCCTTATATATGCTATGCAATGTTTTTTATTTCCAAAATCTTTATGTCGAGAGACTATTATGAACAGATTTTGGTGGCGCAATAAAACTACAAAGAAAGGGATTCACCGAACAAGATGGAGCTATCTTAGTTTACCAAAAAAAAAAAAGCTGGTGGAATGGGTTTCCGCAATCTAGCGAAATTTAATATAGCTCTGTTAGCTAAACAAGGGTGGAACTTAATCAACAACCCAGACAGCTTATTGGCCAGAGTTTATCAAGCCAAGTATTATCCAAATGAAAATTTCCTTTCAGCAAGATTGGGTTTTGTTACGAATTTGAGAGCGATAAAATAATCAAAGTGATATTAACATAAAATAAGACATGCAAAAAAAGAAATTTAACGTGGTTCGACCTTGTCTACCTCCAAAGGCGAGATGAAAAATAATCCACTATAGATGTAGAAAACACGAAAAATACAAGTACATGATATCACATGTATCCCAAAACTCAGTGTATCCCAAAAACTCTCTCAATCCCTAAAAAACTATCTATGTAACATTAACCCCAAAAGTTACAGTTTTTCAAAATAATTATCTCTCACTAATTAGGTTATGACATTATCAATATTTATAAAGCCAAATATTTTATCACCAAGAATTCTTAATCCATAGAATTCTTACTTAAAACAATTACAATAAAATTCAACTTAATTATCAATTATAATTTGGGTCAAAATATAACAAGATCTTACCATTCATATACTTGGAAAAGTATTTGGTGAACACGAGGTCTCCTTGAGCAAGGCTTGGGTTGGAGAATTGATGATGGTATGTCTGCTAACATTTGGGAAGATGTTTGGATTGCAGGTGCTGGTAATGGAAAAGTCAATGGAGTGATTCCAAATACATGTTATTCAAAGGTAGAAGAGTTAATTGAGTCACAAAATCATACCTGGAAGAGTGATCTCATTTTTTCTTTGTTTACAGCTCAACAAGCAGCTCAAATTCTTTGTATTCCTCTCCCTTCTTGTCCATCTCCAGATTTACGTTTTTGGATGGGAGATCCATCTGGTTTATACTCTGTCCGCTGTGGTTATAGGTGGCTTATTAATGCTGAATTAGAATCCTCCGGTGATCCTAATGCTCTTGAGGAAAACTGGTACAATAAATTGTGCAAATCTCTCTGGTCTCTTTCTCTAATTGAAAATCTTTTTTTTTGGCGTTTCATGCACAATTTACTTCCCACTTCCATGAACCTGTGATTGAGACATATTAATGTTAATCCTCAATGCCTGCTTTGCCATTCTAACGAAGAATCTACTACACACTTTGTTCTTGATTGTGTTTTTGTGCATCAAACTCTTTTGGGATTGAATCTTTCTACCAATGATATTCCTGTTGATCAAAACTTCACTTTGTGGATCGTCAACCTTCGAGACTTATTGTTCGACTAAACTAAGAAAGTTCGTGGTGATTTTATGGGCTATTTGGTGCTGAATGGTGATGGCTTCAAAGTTTGGGCCAAAACCCATGATTTGTTTGGTTAACTAACCAAGGCCAGGGCCAAGGCCCAGGCACCGCACGCCTTTCCTCTACAAATTTCCCCAGAATTTAACAACTGCGCATCGACGAGGAAAGAACAGAAAATTTTTGAGAGAAAGCCGAAAGAAAGGAAAATGGGGAAACAGCCGGTGAAGATGAGGGCGGTGGTATACGCGCTGTCGCCGTTCCAGCAGAAGATAATGAGTGGGTTGTGGAAGGATCTGCCGGGAAAGATCTCCCACAAGGTCTCCGAGAATTGGATCAGCGCTACTCTTCTCCTCGCCCCTCTCGTCGGAACCTACATGTAACTCCCCTTTCCATTGCTATTATCTCAATACTAGCATAGTATAATTATCCCTCCTTTTTAATTAGGGTTTGCTGCATATATATACATTTTCCCTTTAATTTCACCTAGGGTTTCATTTAATCAAATCGATGTCTCTTTTTCGATTTCTCATCATATATTCGTATGGATCTATCATCTGTCTATTCTACCTGTAAGAGCTGCATCTATTAATTTTATGGATTTCGTTGCTGACCTCGCCTTTATTGTTTTCTTACATTTGGGAGTGAATCGTTCCTTATTGGTTTCAATCATGAAAAAATAGTAGTAGAAGTCGAAATCATTTATGGCAGAATACTGTTGTAAATTTAATGTTCTTCTTATTTGATTTATTACCAAAGGTGCCTACCTTGTTAATTTGTTTATATAGGTAAAAGGGTAACTAGTGCGACTAACATCTGAAATGAGCACAACATGAAATTTTGAACCTTTTTAGTTTAGGGTTCTATTGGATGGAGAAGGTAACTAGACTTTGTTGGTTGGTCTGCTTTTCATTGGTTTAGACTTTAGACAGGGTCAAGGCATATTGATTTTCTGTCTAAGCAAATAAAATTACACCTGTTTTTGAAACTTGGGAACATGCCTTTTGTATAAAACCTAAGCGGTTTCCATCGACATAAAATTTCATGCTTTTAGGGTGTTAATTGCCTTTACATTCTTTGGCTGTTTCTTCTCAGAAGAACTAAAGCGGATAAGGAAAAGGAAGAGGAGAGCAGATTAACAACTGTGGATATAGTTAATTTGAGTGCACCAAAATGTTGATTACATAATTCATGTTTTGTTATACGCAATCTGCGTTATTGATTTCATGTATATCTTCATAGTCTATTTACACAATCTATGTAACTGGATGCAGGTATGTCCAGAACTTCAAAGAAAAGGAGAAGTTGGAACACAGGTATTGAAACCACAAGAAGCTTCCATTTTATCAGAACAATTCTGGTCTTATTACATTTTAGACTCGATTTTGTTGAGGTTGAGTGCAATGATGAACCGTGTTTCTTGATTGGGATTGGATTAGTATCCGACCGATGAGTTGGTGTTTTGCTATTGATATGGAATAAATGAATTTGGATCATTACATTCTTGGTTAAATAAATTTGTGGATTTGTTGTTCAATTGTGTATGCAAATGGTTGTGCTGATGTCCTCTTGTATCCATCCTGACTATCATTCTGTTTGCTAGGAAAGGAACATTTTCAATCTAATGATTGAACTGAACCTTATGTTAATTTTCTTTTTATGTACACGTTGCTCAGATTATTCCAGGTATGCACATGTTGGAATAACATAGCATCGGAATATGCCGAAATTCCACCGTTGAAAAGACATTGACAAGTTGGAACATCCAACTTGTAAAAGATAACCCTGCAACTGATGAGAAATGTTAGATTGATATTGGGAACAAGGAGATAGAAGCTGGAAGTGGATTGGACATTGAAGGCAGCCATGCACTAGATGTTAAGCAACTGATGAGGCAATTATTTAAGCCGTTGTCTCTCTTTCCAAAAAGAGGATCTTAATTCGTAAACATAAGAAAGCCTTTGAACCTACCGATGCTATGACGCCCGGGAGTTAAGGTGGTCGGATATGTGTTCAGGATGGACCAAGTATACGAGAAGAAGACAACCAAATTAAAATAAGCTTGGACATGACTAGAGATGCACAGAATCCAGATTTCAATCCAATCCGGATCGGATAAAAACCGATCCGGTTTTTTCTCCCAACCCAAAAACCGGATTTTAAAAAAACCGGTTCGGATCCTAACCGGTTTGAAGGGTCGGATGGTGTAACCGGTGTAACCGGTTTCGGTTTGCAAAAACCGGTTAAAAAAAAAACGGATTTTTTCGGTTAAAAAACCGGTTTTTTATCCGGTTTGAAAAAAACCGGTTTTTAATCCGGTAAAAAAACCGGTCGTTCAATTTTTTTCTCAAACCGGTTATACTATCCGGTTTTTAAATATCCGATCCGGTTTAAAAAAAACCGGTTTTTTCAAAATCCGGTTTCGGATATTTTTTACCCAAAATCGGATATTCGGATTTTTTGTGCACCTCTAGACATGACTAAAGTATGGTCAATTTACGACCAAGCACATTCAAAAACGCACGGACGTGCATTGAGCATTTTACATTTTCTTTTTGGCTTTACACCTCACAAAATATAGAACCAAAGATGGGTGATTTAAGCACTTTTAAGTTAATATCTCTAGATTCAACTATATATATTAAGGGGTTGTTTGTTTGTCTCTTAATGGAATCATTCAACGTTGAACGTTAAACAGTTAAGCATTCAGCGCGTTTGTTTCGTATTTCTGAATGATTCAGTGTTCACTGATTCAACAAAACAGTGTTGAATAATTCAGCACAGAAGTATATTCTGAATCATTCAGAGTCAGTTATCAAATTTCATGTCACATTCAGAGTTAAATCATTCAGAGTCTCTGAATCATTCAATATTTAAATCATTCAGCATTTAAATCATTCAACATTTAAATTATTCAGTATTTAAATCATTTAGCGCTTAATCGTTCTGAAGTAAACAAATAGTCCTTAAAATTCAAAACTTATTTTTAACATATTTTATTATTTGGAGCAAAAAAAGGATTTTTAAAAAATCTTGATCAAAGTTGATAAGATTTGTAAATGTAAAAAAATAAAAATTATTGAAAAATTATGATCAACTTGATAAGATATATATAAATGTTGAGGGCAATATTGTTATCATGTTAGTTAAAATTAAGACATGGGTTAATTCCGTTAATCACAATAGGTGACAAAAATATTAAATTTTGTAATGTTAGATGAAAAGTTGAAGATATTTTAACCAAAATAAAAATTTGCTCATAATTCAATGCTCAATTATATGATTTATCTTTCTTTACGGTTCTATTAGGGGTCGTTTGATTTACTGAATATAAGATTACCTTTGAGAATAAGATTATATGAATGTTATATTACATGATATATTATTGAGAATGTTATATTACTTTATTTGGTTTATTTGGTAGAAATGTAAGATTACAGTGTTTGGTTGAAGAAATATAGGATAAAAAACATATATTTTATGAAATTGTCTTTGAGATAATTCTTTCTTAACAAGTTGATTTCTCAACATTAAAGTTAAAATATTTACATAAAAATTCATATAAAATATAATTTATATAATTTTTAATTTATATATTTTTAATAAAAACTTGTACACAAATAATTTAATATATATTTTAATTATCTTTAATTTTTTTATTTCTTTGAAGATAGAGAAACATACTTCGACCAATACAATTGTGTGTTTATTTTTATGTACCAAGATATTGAGAGATGTGCATACTTACACTGAGATCTAAGTATGTGTTTATTATTATTTTTATTTTATTCATGCTACATATACGTGTTGTAAAACGAAATATCATATTAAATTATTTGAAAAAATTAATAGAAAATATAACAAATATAATAAATAAAACATTTTATAAAAATTAATCCTAAAAATTAAATTCTATAAAATACATATAAAAATAAAAATTTAATCGAGCAAATATATAATAAATACTCAAAATAAAATAAAAATTATTATTTTTATTTTTTATTATATGTATCATATTATTTTTTATAATAAGTATTAAAAAAATTTAGAATCACAGCAAAAATTAAAAAAAAAAATTAGATTTATACTAATGTAATTAGGCATATTATTTTGAAATAGTCATATTATTCAAGGGCATTCTTGTCCTAAAGGGAATAAATTATTTAATACCTAATAAAACAAAGAGTTGATATTTCCATGTAAGTAATATTTTGTTACTCGTGCGAGGGAATGCTTCCAAATCAAATGTGAGTATTTCTTAAAATGATTTTTTTTTGGTAATGATCTTTTAATTAATTCAAACACACCGTATTATGTAGTAGCTTACTAATAATTAAAGAAAATTACATAAAAAAATCAAAATATAAAAAAATATTTCGAAATCCAAAAAAATTAATTTATAAATATCCTATTGTGTAATTGACCTAAACAAATAATAATAGTAATAAGATAAAGAGAAAATAACCTCTGTGACAAAAAATGTCTTATAATATACGATTTTAACCAACTTTTTTTGGATTTGCCAAAATGACCAATTAAATCGCAATGCGATCGATAATTCGCAACGCGATCTCCGGTATCGCAAATCAGTTTCCCGATTTGCAACACGAACTTCGACTATCGCATTACGATTTACATATTCGCATTGCGATAGTCCAAGTTCGCGTTGCGATTTTCCAAATTCGTTGCGATAGTCGAAGTTCGCGTTGCGATTTATTCCAAATTCGTTGCGATAGTCCAAGTTCGCGTTGCGATTTATTTCAAGTTTGTTGTGATAGTCGAAGTTCGCACCAAGACCACGACCACGACCAAGACCACGACCACGACCCGAGACAAGACGAGACGACGGCGACGGCGGCGCGCGAGAGTCCCCCTTGTTCTCTATCACTTAACAAGGAAGTGGGAAAGTCAAGCCTTAAATACCATTCTCAATAGTGTTTTCAATACTATGTGGGATTGAGCATTACCAACACTTGTTCCCAATACTATGTGGGATTGAGCCTTAAATAGTGATATTATTTTTGAATGTTTTGCTTAAAATTGCAATAATCGCGATTGATTGTAGATTAACTTTTAATTATAACATATTTAATCGTATAATACTAATGCAATTGGTTGTTGATTCAGTTGTTTTAAGGTGCATGATTGTTAATTGTTTCCTGAATAATCACATTGTATTGGAAATAAGTGTTGGTAATGCTCAATCCCACATAGTATTGGAAACACTATTGGGAATGGTATTTAAGGCTTGGATTTTCCACTTCCTTGTTTGAGTGATAGAGAACAAGGGGGACTCTCGCGCGCCGCCGTCGCCGCCATCCGTCTCGTCTCGAGTCATGGTCGTGGTAATACGTATCTTCGACACGTCCGAGCGAATACTATATTTTTAGAGAAAATTCTTAAGAAACAAATGCAATACCACCAGTCGTTGTCGCAACGAATTTGGAATAAATCGTAACGCGAACTTGGACTATCGCAACGAATTTGGAATAAATCGCAACGCGAACTTCGACTATCGCAACGAATTTGGAAAATCGCAACGCGAACTTCGACTATCGCAACGAATTTGGAATAAATCGCAATGCGAACTTTGACTATCGCAACGAATTTGGAAAATCGCAACGCGAACTTCGACTATCGCAACGAATTTGGAAAATCGCAACGCGAACTTCGACTATCGCAACGCGAACTTGGACTATCGCAATGCGAATTATGTAAATCGCATTGCGATAGTCCAAGTTCGCGTTGCGATAGTCGAAGTTCGCGTTGCGAATCTGGAAACTGATTTGCGATACCGAAGATCGCGTTGCGAATTATCGATCGCATTGCGATTTAGTTGGTCATTTTGGCAAATCGTATATTATAAGGCATTTTTGGTCACTGAGGTTATTTTTCTCTAAGATAAATTCAATTTTATTTATAATTTAGAAGTGAGAGAATTTTACTTTGGAATTAGAACTATGGCTTAGGATCTGTTTGTTTGCCGTAATTAGAATTACGGAATTTGTTTTTCCCGAATTCTCGTGTTTGTTTCACGTAATTCGTTTTCCGGAAAATATTTTCCCGTGTTTGTTTCACGTAATTCATTTTCCGGAAAATGTTTTCCAGTATTTGTTTCACGTAATTGGTTTTCCTGAACGTAGTTCATTTTCCTAGTAACAGAATTTCCTTTGTGTTTTCTGGAAAATGACTTACGGATTCATTTTCCGTAAGTCATTTTCCGAACTTTTCACATATAATATTATATTTTTAATATTATATAAAATAATCAATTATATTATAATAATATAAGATATTATATTTTTATTTTAATAATATATAATAAAAAAATTTATATATTTAATAATGAATA